GGATCTTGGAGACATGAATTAATATATTCCTACACATCTGCTCCCCCTGTATCAGTGTGAATTACTCTTATACCCATTTAGTCAACAGAACCAAAAACTTGGGAGTCTAAGGGAGGAGGGGATCATATTTCCTTTCTGTTTTTCTCCACCCCGTATCCAATCCATTCTTCAGTCCTATGACTTTCATCTTCTCATTTCCCTGATCGCTGCATTAGTGGGCTTGCCTAGGCTTCCAGTCTCTTCTCCAGGTCAATCCCTTCACTCCTCCATAGTGGAGAATGCCATAAGGCTGATCAGGGTGCTCTTGAACTTTTGGAGCTCTAGTGGGACCAGATTACATTTTATCAATGCTATTGCTATTAAGTGCTTATAATAAGTAGGGCCTCATCAGGACATAGACGGTTCTCTCCACATTCATGATTCTGCATAGCATCTTTTCTGCTAAGCTCTCCTTATCTCACCATATATCTGAATATTACGTTGCTCACTCTTTCCAGAAAATGCACTGCGGTTTATTTCCCTAGGGTTTTTCCAAGTTTCTGCATCCTCATTAGTTCTCATTAACTCCTATCCTTCCATAGTGATGGTTTTTTGAGCCATTTCTCAGCAACAGTTTACCTACCTTCAGCAACCATAAATATCCATGGACGTGCGCACAAACATTCACATGCACATACAAACACACAGACATCCACAAACACATGCATACACAAAAAGATACACACGTACACACACACACATACACACACATGCATTTTATCCATTCTATATTGCTACATGCTGTACAATGATTTATAATTAGAGCATCATTTGATTTTCAGTCTAAATAAATGGTATTTATTGGCACATAGACTTAATTATGTCACCTCAGGCCAGAATTTTATCCTCATGAGTTCAGATGGACTTTTTCCTCCTTGAGTGCACAAATAAATAGTGGATCTTTAACTTTCAGACAGAAGGTTTATGTTCTTTTTTCAGTAACCGTGATAAGTTCGTTCTCTTTCTATATTTAAGGTACTCTGGGGAGATGAAGGTGTGATAGCCAATACCTGAGAACTAAAAGTACTTTTTAATAGACTCAGAATTAACATATTGCAGTGGGATGCAAAAATCCCTTTTCTATCTTTACCTAGTGAAGCAAATATTATTGGATAAATTAATTCAATAAAATAAACTTGTCTTCAAACAATTTAGCCCTCACTGTGTTCCAAACTCCTCAAGAATTTTTTTATTAGTATTTATAACACTTGTTAAGGGAACATTTTCTTTTATGACATCTCTAAATGTCACTGTTTCCAAGATTCTATATCATTATATTGTCAATGAGTTACTTCTTCAGTGATAGTTTTTCAATTTCTGTTAAGGTTTTAATTTCTTCTTCAATTTCTCATACTTGTACCCTAGTATTTCTTTTAGTTCATTAGTGGAAAATAAGCTAGCTCTTACAAACTCTTAGTTGACAAATGATATAATCTTATCTTTTGAGGAAAGAGCTCACATTTGAAGGCTAAATTTAACTGCTAATGTGGTAATGTTCGACTCCCCAGGAATTAGGGGCAAATCTGAAATCAGCAGATGTCCTGGAAACATGGAATCTTGACGTCAGAAAGGTTCCCTGGGATGCAGAGTAGTCACCCCTGAGTCTTGCAGTTTAAGAAGAAGCTCCCATAGCACACACACATATTTAAAAGGATTGCTTGGAGTGACTAGGTTTGAAGTGCAAATGGCAGCAGAGCTGGAAGTAGAAAAATAAATGGAAATGTTTGCCTCAGGAGGTAATGTGGGGGCCAAGACAGTCACAGGCGTGGGGCTTTGAGATGCCTCCCAGGGAGCTATCTTCCTGTTGCAGATGCTCAGGCCTTTGTCCTGCAGGCTCGTTTTGTACACCTCGGGAACAGTGCTTGAAATTCAAGAAAGTAAGCATTGTTGACTTGGGATGAGTTCTCCGTTGTAATTTATAAAATAGGCAAATTGTTTACAGTCCAATGCTTTAACCCTAGTTTAGTCAGTGATCTGTAACAGAGCCCTTATCTCTGTGTGAAACTGAGGGGCGTGAGAAACGGAAATTAGGTCTGAGGGTTACCAGCATATGGTTTCAGTGGAAGCCTTGGATATGAGTGAAAGCATCCAAGGAGAGAGTAAAGTATGAAGAGAAGGTGAATGAGGGAATGAAGAAGGAAGCCCCTGAAGGGTCATTATTAGTAGTAGTATTTTTTTGAGCTCATTAGTGGTGAAAATAAGGTAGTTCTTATAAACTCTTAGTTGTCAAATATTATAATCTTATCTTTTGACAAAAGAGTTAGCATTTGGAGGATAAATTTCACTGCTAATGTGGTAATGCTGGACTCACCAGGAATTAGGGGCAAATCTGAAGCCAGCAGATGTCCTGGAAACATGGAATCATGACGTCAGAAAGATTCCCTGGGATGCAGTGAATGAAGGAAGAAGCCACTGAATGGTTATTATTATTATTATTATTTTGAGAAATAATCTGAGGCGGAGGAAGGAACCACTCTTTCTAATATTGCGACTTGCCGCCTTACCTCCTCTCCAGACCTCCTTTACTCCAGTCAAGTTTATTTTCCTATAGCATTTTTCATTTATCAAAATATGACATCACTTACTTTTAAGTTATTTTCTTGTGTTTTATTTTATATCTTTTCTGCCCCCTGTCCCTTACCAGAAGGTAAGCCCCATGAGGGCAGATGTCTTTGTTGGTATATTCCAAGCAGCTAGAAGAGTGACTAGTACCTTGGAGGTGCTTAGTCATATTTACTGGATGAGTGAAAAACTTAGCAGTGTTTCAAGAGGAAAGTCTGCTACAGACTGAATGCTTGTGTCTCTCCAAAATTCTTATATTGAAATCCTAATCTGCAATGTGGTGTTGTTAGGAAGTGTGACCTGTGGTAGCTGATTAGGTCACAAGGGCTCTGCCCTCACCAATGGGATTAGTGCCCTTATGAAAGAGACGTTGAACATTTATCTTTTGAGGAATAAATGGAATGCTGTCCTCCAAACAGGTGTGGGTGCTGGCTGTGGGGAGTGAAACACGCCAAAGATAGGAAATGCAAAAGGGATTTGAAAGGGTATGGGTGGAACACTCACAGCTTGTGCTTCGTGATCTTTTGGAAATAGGAAGCGAATCTTCTGAGATCGAAATATATGAGAATATGACAAATTTGTCTGTAGAGAGCCAAAGGCATTTTCTGGGTTGAGCATATTTTTTTCTTGTTAAGCCTTTTTTTAAAAATTTTAATTTTAATTTTTTAATGTGAGCAATTGATTAGGAGACAGCAGGGAATACTTTCTGTCTACTCAGAACTGCAGAGCCCTATGGAAATCTCAGCCCCAACTCCCCCATTGCCATATTATTGAAATGTAAATCACTGAATATGAAAATACTTAACTGAGAGTCCTAGAAATCATACTTTTCTCTGCAAATACATACTGTAAATCTTAAACTAGGAATCCTTCTTCTTCTCAAAAACAGCAATTTGTTAATTCTTTTTAAGTCAAAACTGATTTATACTTCCCCTGATGGTGTTGATGCCAATTTATAAATTTCTTTATACCTTCACCTACTGTCAAAGCTAACTATATTAATCTTTACTCCATTAGAGTACTGAGCACAGACCTAAGTACCTATTATGAGCTGAATTAGCAAGCTACTTAATTGTGTGTGTGTGTGTGTGTGTGTGTGTGTGTGTGTGTTGAGTACTTTACTGTATTTTTAGTGTATAAATATGATAGAGGAAACTTCTATTAGTACAAAATGTCCAAGGGAACTACACTTGCCTCCACATAAATCAAATTAAACCCAATTAAATTAAAAAATAAACTTGGCTCATGCCTGCAATTGCAGCCCTTTGGGAGGCCAAGGTGGGCAGATCACAAGATCAGGAGTTCAAGACCATCCTGGCTAACATGGTGAAACCCCGTCTCTACTAAAAATACAAAAATTAGCTGGGTGTGGTGGCGCGTGCCTGTAATCACAGCTCTTCAGGAAGCTGAGGCAGGAGAATCACTTGAAGCAGGAAGTTGGAGGTTGCAGTGAGCCGAGATCGCACCACTACACTCCAGCCTGATGACAGCGAGACTTCATCTCAAAAACAAAAAACAAAAATCAACTCATGAACCCTTGCACATTATTTATTTGAATGTTGTTTAAATTGCGTGGCAATTCCAGAAGCAGGGAACATGGTAGATATTGTCATTTCCCACAGTGTATTTAAATATGCTGGAGCTCAGTAGGAAATGGGAAGGCTCTATCACTCAATTGTTTCCAAATTAATGTCTTGTCATCAATCACCACAAAGTCTCAGTGGCATTCAACCTCAGAATCACAGGAATGCAAGCCTGCTAGGCTGGTTCTCCTGCAGGCTGTTGGCCTATGGGTTGTCTGGGGCGGACTGGTTCTGTGTGTCCTACACTGGGCCCAGGCTGCAGGGGTGGAAGCTACCTGGGACACATTCTTCCCTTGGTAGTGGACCGAAGCTCCTAGAAGGATAAATGGAAGCCCTCAGTACCTGTTCAGACTGAGGCGCTAATCAGGCTCATTGTCACTTCCACATTCCATTGGTCAAAGCAAGAAAACACAGTTAAAACCAAAGGCAGAAGTGGATGAGGAGCACTGCCCAGAGGAGGCTACAGCAAGGGTGGGATGTACAGAAGCTCCCAGAGTAGCAAAGAACTGGGGCCAGCAACGGCATCTACCACAGTGGGATTCCTGTTTCTGGAAATAAACACACCCTTGGACGCATACCAGGTGATATTTATATGGGTGATTGCTATCTAGTGCTTAACTGGAACTGCTTGACTTGCTTCCTGGTTCATCTGAGGCTGGGAAATTTCAAACACACTTTTTGATATCCTTTCTTGAAATAGTGATTCAGCATTTCAGGTACTTAAAAAATAACTCCAATAAAGCTTGAACATTGCATCTTCTTTCTGAGTGGATTCTTCCTTCCTTGGTATGTATTAATGCCCTTATTTTATGTCAGCCCCGAGGTACTGAAGAGTGAGCCGTATGGAGAGAAGGCTGATGTCTGGGCAGCAGGCTGCATCCTTTATCAGATGGCGACTTTGAATCCCCCCTTCTACAGCACCAACATGCTCTCCTTAGCTACAAAAGTAAGCAACGATGGGAGACAAAAAGGGTCTCTGGTAGCTAAAAATACGATTCCTTTTCTTATTAAACAGACCTTTGTGGTTTTATATAACTGTCCATTAAAAGCAAGAATTGTTTTATTAACTATATGATCCAGTTTATTTTTTCTGCTTTCTTCTAGGCATATATCTCATGTAATTGCATATTTCCCTCTATAATTGTCTTTATTTATAATACAAAATTATTTTTAAAAGTATATCAAATCACTTTTGGTTATTTATTTACTTATTTAGAGACAGAGTCTCGCTCTGTCGCCTAGGCTGGAGTGAAGTGGTGCAATGTCAGCTCACTGCAACCTCTGCCTCTTGGGTTTAAGTGATTCTCCTGCCTCAGCCTCCCGAGTCGCTGAGATTACAGGTGTGAGCCACCATGCCCGGCTATTTTCTATGTTTAGTGGAGATGTGGTTTCACCATGTTGACCAGGCTAGTCTCAACTCCTTACCTCAAGAGATCCACCCACCTCGGCCTCCCAAAGTGCTGAGATTACAGGTGTGAGCCACTGCAGCCAGCCTGGTTTCTTATTTTTAATTGTGACTACTCATGATTCAGCACCTTATATTATCCCATACATCATTTTATTATGAATCTAAGGTTAATTTTAACTCAGCTTGGAGAGTACAATTCTATGTTCAAGGACTGTTTAATTAATGCAAACGTTTTATTTGGTCAGGATGTTTTTATTTCTGACAAAAATTTATGTTTGAAGCTATACTGCTTAATTAGTAACTCTCAGGTTATAGCCAAGAATTAATTCTTCAAAGACATCCGTGGCCCCTTTGCTTCCATCACTGTAGTCTGTTTGTTTTGCAGATAGTGGAGGCGGTATATGAACCAGTGCCAGAAGGTATCTACTCTGAAAAAGTAACAGACACCATCAGCAGGTAATTAGTATTGCAGCTTCAGACATAGAGGGACAATCAAGAAATACCTCATGTCTATAATAAATCACTATTTATGGATAAAGGTTCATGAAGAGGAAGGGTCCCCAAATAATCCAAACCTAGAAAGATGTTTGTGCATCATCAGTTACATAACTATTTGGAAGCCACTTAAGTGTCCAAGAGGAAGTGGTGCCTCCGTTATTATGCAACCACTAGAACGATTATTGGGAAGTGTTTTAACAACTTGTCAGACACGTTATGTTTGCAGGTAAGACAAATATGATGTGAAGCTGTTTGTAACCATGACGAATCCCACAAAAATATGCAACAAATTGGAAAAAGGCCAGACAAGAACACATAAAACAAAAAGCCATGTTAGATGATAAAGTTACAGGTACTTTTTCACATTAAATTGATAACGTGATTTATCATAATTTTTCAAAGAGAATCAGAAGCTCCAGCTGTCACTATAGCAGGAATTTAATGAAAGTCATTAGCTAGACGCACTTCCAGAGTTCTGGCCAATCCCTACTGGCCTGTCACCTATGCTCCCTCCCACTTCTCCTCCTGTTTTCTCTGCTCCAGCCACATGGTGCTTCCCACTGGTCCTGGCCTGCACCCTCTTCTAGACCTTTGCCCTTGCTTTCATGGTTTCCGAGAACTCTCTTTTCCTCAGATATATGTGTAACACTGGCCCCCACTTCCTCTGGGACTCTGCTAAAATGGCCCCACCACCCCACAGTACGCTGTAGCCTCCTTGCCTGCTTTATAAAGCGCACAGCACCCATCATCCCTGACGTATTATACATCTGCATACGTACTTTTTGTTGTCTGTCTCTTCCTCATCAAAATGCAAACTCAGGAGCAGGGACTTAGTTTAGTTGGCAGCTTTTATTGCCCAAAGCAGTGGCTGGCAGAGAGTAGACCCTTAATAAGTATGCTTGGTTGAATAAATGACTCGTTTATCTGGCTGACGACTGTTTCTGGACCATCTTGGGTACAAACGTGCACGTGTACCTCTGAAATTAAAAGTTAAAAAAAAAATCAATTTAAAAAAAGACAGTAGATCAGTATTGTGCCAAAGAAAGAAAGGCTTAGATATCTATCATCCATTAAGAACCGTCTTGGATACTTAAGCTGGCCCAGGATTATTTCTCCATCCCACCAAACTGAGCCAAATCCTCAGTAGTTTGGATTGTAGAAATCCTGGAGTCACCCCAGATAGAATCATTTTCCATCCCCCTTCCTGAGTCTTTTAAGACTTGGGTTGGTATCTGTGCTAGCCCTTAGCTCCATCTCTGATGAAATACAATGGATGTTTTATTGGGATGATACCCCTTTCCCTTGATTTCTCCTTCTAGCCAATTGTTTGTGCTAATATTACTCCTCACCTGTTTTTGTAGGATGATATCTAAGCCTTTCTTTCTTTGGCACAATACTGATCTACTGTCTTTTTTTAAATTGATTTTTTTTTTAACTTTTAATTTCAGAGGTACACGTGCACGTTTGTTTTATAGGTAAACTTGTGTTACGGGGGTTTGTTAAGTAGCATGTTTCATCACCCAGGTATTAAGCTTAGTAGCCATTAGTTATTTTTCCTGATGCTCTCCTTCCTCCCACTCTCCACCCTCCAATAAATCCCATTGTCTGTTGTTCCCCTTTATGGGTCCAGGTGTTCTCATCATTTAGCTCCCACTTATAAGTGAAAACATGCAGTATTTGATTTTCTGTTCCTGTATTAGTTTGCTAAGGCTAATGGGCTCTAGCTTCAACCATGTTCCTACCAAAGGCATGATCTCTTTCCTTTTCATGGCTGCATAGTGTTCTGTGGTGCATATATACCATATTTTCCTTATTTAGTCTAGAATTGATGGGCATTTAGGTTGATTCCATGCCTTTGCTATTGTGAATAGTGCTCCAATGAACATATGTGTGTATGTGTTTTTATGATAGAATGATTTATATTCTTTAGTTGTATACCCAGAAATGGGATTGCTGGGTTGAATGGTAGTTCTAGTTTTATGTCTTTGGGGAATCACTACACATCGTTTTCCACAATGGTAGAACTAATTTACACTCCCACCAACAGTGCATACATGTTCCTTTTTCACTGCAACCTCTCCAGCATCTGTTATTTTTTGACTTTTTAACAATAGCCATTCTAACGGGTATAAAATGGTATCTCACTGTGGTTTTGATTTGCATTTCTCTAATGATCAGTAATGTTGAGCTTTATTTCATGTTTGTTGGCTGCCTGTCTTCTTTTGTAAAGAGTCTGTCCAAGTTCTTTGCCCACTTTTTAATGGGGTTGTTTTCTCTTGTAAATTTGCTTAAGTTCCTTATGGATGCTGGCTATTAGACATTTGTCAGGTGCATGGTTTGCAAAAATTTTCTTCTGTTCTGTAGGTTGTCTGTTTACTCTGTTGATAGCATCCTTTGGTGTGCAGAAACTCTTTAGTTTAATTAAATCTCACTTGTCAATTTTTGCTTTTGGTGTCTTTGTCATGAAATTTTTGCCTGTGCCTATGTCTGAATGGTATTGCCTAGGTTGTCTTCCAGGGTTTTTATAGTTTTGGATTTCACATTTAGGTCTTTAATCTGTCTTGAGTCGGGTTTTGTATATGGGGTTCAGTTCAGATTTTTGTAAAGGGTTCAGTTTCAGTTTTCTGCATACGGCTAGTCAGTTATCCCAGCACCATTTATAACATAGGGAATCCTTTCCCTATTGCTTGTTTTGTCATGTTTGTTGAAGGTATGCAGGCTTATTTCTGGGTTCTCTATTCTGTTCCATTGGTCTATGTGTCTGTTTTTGTATCAATACCATGCTCTTTTGGTTACTGTAGCCCTGTAGTATGGTTTGAAGTCAGGTAGCGTGATGACTTCAGCTTTATTCTTTTTGCTTAGGATTGCTTTGGCTATTCAGGCTCTTCTTTGGTTCCATGTAAATTAATTTTTTTTTTTAATTCTGTGAAGAATGTCATTGGTAGTTTGATAAGAAAAGCATTGACCCTATTGAATACTGCTTTGGGCAGTATTGTCATTTTAATGATATTGATTTTTCCTGTCTGTGAGCATGGGATATTTTTCCATTTGTTTGCATCATCTCTGATTTCTTTGAGCAGTGTTTTCTAGTTCTCTTTGTAAAGCTCTTTACTTCCCTTTTTAGCTGTATTCCTAGGTATTTTATTCTTTTTGTGGCAATTGTGAATGGGATTGCATTCCTGATTTGGCTCTTGGCTTGACCCACAGCCGACATTATACTGAATGGTCAAGGGCTGGAAGCGTTTCCCTTGAAAATCAGCACAAGATTAATAATACTTCAATATAGTATTGAAAGTACTGGTCAAAGCAGTCAGGCAAGGGAAAGAAAGGGCATCCAAATAGGAAGAGAGGAAGTCAAACTATCCCTGTTTACAGATGACGTGATCCTCTATCTAGAAAACCCCATAGTCTTGGCTCAGAAGCTCCTTAAGTTGATGAACAACTTCAGGAAAATTGTAGGATACAAAATCAATGTGCAAAAAATCACTAGCATTTCTATACAACAACAGTGAAGCTGAGACCTACAGTCTTACGAGCCTCAGGCTCTGAAGACAGGCCTACCTGTAAACTGCAGACTCTAAAAAGTGATTTGAGGCCAGGCATGGTGGCTCACACCTGTAATCCCAGCACTTTGGGAGGCTGAGGCAGGCGGATGACCTGAGGTCAGAAGTTTGAGACCAGCCCGGCCAACATGGTGAAACCCCGTCTCTACTAAAACTGCAAAAATTAGCCAGACATGGTGGTGTGTGCCTGTAATCTCAGCTACTTGGGAGGACGAGTAGCTGAGGCAGGAGAATCACCTGAACCTGGGAGGTGGTGGTTGCAGTGAGCCAAGATTGAGCCATTACACTGACGACAAGAGCAAAACTCCATCTCAATAAATAAATAAATAGATAAATAAATAAATAAAAATAAAGGCCAGGTGCAGTGGCTCACGCCTGTAATTCCAGCACTTTGGGAGGCTGAGGTGGGTGGATCACCTGAAGTTGGGAGTCCTGACCAACATGGAGAAACCCCATCTCTACTAAAAAATACAAAAGTAGCCAGTTGTGCTGCTGCATGCCTGTAATCGGAGCTACTTGGGAGGCTAAGTCAGGAGAATTGCTTCAACCAGTAGGCAGAGGTTGTGGTGAGCCAAGATCATGCCAATGCACTCCAGCCTGGGCAACAAGAGCAAACCTTCATCAAAAAAAAAAAAAAGAAAGAAAAAAAAAAGAAAAGAAAAATTGCCCTCCCCAACCAAAAAAAAAGAAATAAAATTTACAAAAACAAAGAGAGATTTGACCATTATTCCTGCATCCCTGTTTTCTCATCGAGTAGAGTGAGAATCATAATAGTACCGTCTCATTAGGTGGATGTGATGATTACACAAAGTAACATGCGAATCACTCAGCAAAGGGTTTGGTGAGAGGTAAACACCTGGGCAGTTTTGGCAATCACCGTTACTAATATGGGAGTTGAGACAGACCTGTCTTTAAATCATTTGACCTCCACAAATACTGGATCATACCCTGTTGCTAATGAATCCAGACAAATATATTTAAACTGCTCACCTCTATGATTTGTTTCTGTTTTCTGTCATTTTTGGGAAAGTACCTTAAAAATTGACAGTCTTCAGAGGTGTCAAGACAAAAGTACCATATTTGCTCATTTAATTTCTCCTTTTAGTAGGTTTTTGAGTGCCACAAAGGGCGAGGGAGGGGTAGCACAAAGAACAAGGTACAGAGATACTGCTCTGATTTTGTGATTCTGGGCAAACAGGATTGCAAATCTCTTCTGAAACTAATAGACACTGGCCCCTTGGGGTTAACATGCTAGTAGGGGAGTCAGATAAAAAAATTAGAGTGCAAAGGTTTAGACTATTACCAGGTTCTGGAGTCAACTGGATTCTAATTCCCCCTCTTCCATTCAATTTAACTTTCCCGAGGCCCAATTTTCTCATCTGTGATGTGTGTGTAGCAATAGTAATTACTTCATGGGCTTGTTTTAAAGCTTAAATAAGATAATGCTTCTGACGCACTTACAGTACCCAGCAAGTGGTAAGCACTCAATAAAATTATGTATTATTATTAATAATAATATATTATTTACAGAATGAATTATATAAAGCAAATTGTGATAAATGTGATGAAGAGGGGCAATGAGAGATTACAGAAGGACCTGTCTTACTCTGGGAATTTGGGAAAAGTTTCTCTGAAGAAAGGACATGTAATCTGAGACCTGAACAATCAATAACTCTCAAATAGTAAGCAAAATGGATAATGCATTTTAGAGACCAGTGTCAGTAAAGGCTTTGCTGACGGAAAGAGCTTCTTAATTTGAGGCTGCTTTTAATTTAAAATACTAAGATGACATAATAAGTTAGAGCTGACAATTCAATTTTATATCTGACAATAAATAAGATTGCAGGGTGCATTCAACAAATTTATTTTCATTTAAAGTTATTTAAGACTCCTCATTGTCTGGGTTTACATTCCAAATAAAGTTTTATCTTTAGAAAATTTGACATAAAACTGAAATCAATCATATGCAATTGCATATTTAATTTGCTTTGGATTTTTAGCATTATGAAATTAAGTTCTGAAAGAATTAGGGAACAAACTCAAATTTCCTATTTTCTTAGTTTCCTGTTTTCTTAAAGCAATGATGCAAGGGACACATGAAGGCAAAAGTGTTCTTAATGATCATTTATGACTCAGCAAAAGATCAGGCTCAGAGCCAATCTTTAGTAATTTGATAGAGCCTTTGAAATAGAAGACAACTCTTAACAGAAACGTTTATTAGTTTATTATAATCATTCTTAAACTATATATTATCTCCAGTCATATATATCTTCTTTCTTTTGTTTTAAAATCTTCTCATTTTAATTTTTCACATCCTTGTGAAGCAGAGCTCACACAGATTGCATTTGTAATGTGCTGCATTTTTCCTTTTTCCTGTTTGCTCATGTGGTATACAAGCACATTTGATATTGAAACTTGTCTTTCCTAGCAGGCCTTCAAATTGGGAGAATAACTTAGCAGCCCTGAGGAGTTTGGGGTGGAAAAATTTTTTGTTCTGCTCAGTACCATCATTACTGTTTTTACCTACCAATATACTATTAAGAGAATATTGTCTATTTACTTTTTAAAAAGGAAGAACATTTCCTTTTATGCACAAATTATTCTACTAAAATAATTGCATTATTTTTCTCTCACTGTGCCTAGTTGCATAAGCTGCCTGGTGCTTTGCTTCAAAAGCAGTCATGAGGACTAACAAAGTTAATATTTTCAGCTCGCTCCAAGGACAAATGGATCTTTGTATTTTTCATCCCTTTCAATTCTTTGTTTCTTTGAACATGACATGAATGCAATTGAACAAGGTATGCTTCTAATTCTTTCCATCTGGCCTCTCAGAGCAGAGTGGGGGCAAAGTAGATGAGGTGAGAAGAACATCCCCAATTTTTTCTAGGACCAGATTTTATGCTTATGTGTTTACAGAACCATTGGCAGACAATCTTTAGCATGTACTATTACTCTGATTCAGTTGCTGTTAAGAATGCCCATGTACCCCAGAACCTAAAGTACAATATATATATATATATATATATATATATATATATATATATATATAT